CTTCACAGAGAGAGAGAACTTGCCTCACACTGCAGACTGCAAAGACGACAAATCATAGACATACTGCGAATCCATATTTCATTTGAACCGGGACTGTAAATTATGAAGGGCTAACAAGGAGTAATAAGTTAATGCTGAGGCTGTGATTATATGTAAAAAGCCACAATACATATTCTGTGACTTAATGTTGAGACAAACATGACAAACTGACAACCATAGGTGTCTATACGTACTGTAGACACCCCATGAGATTGCTCCAGACACGTCAATGTGCCTGGCATCTTGGAACGGTCCACATTTCTGCTCATCACCTACACTAAAAAGTCCAATGAATTGCAACACAGGCTCTTTGGAAAAACGTACCTGCGGCAACATTTTTGCAAAAAGCAAAATACGTACCAATACGTATCACTGCAGTTTCCAACAGAAATGAACACTAGAGGCAGTAAAACAGCAAGCACTTTTAATTGTTTTCACACACAATTATGATTACAGGGGCAGATTATAGATTAATAAAGACTTGTTTTCACGCAGCACCTTGCACAATTATTTTATGACCTCAAAACACTTTTTACCATAGTGTATGATTTGTAAACTAATTAACTTCGGCGTTTGCATCATTAACCAGCTCCATATATTTTAATGACATACTAAGCTTGCTCGGTAGCTCAGTACAGAATTGTACTCGTGATGCGGAGAGCTCGGGTACAAATCCCTTGAAAGATGAGTCACGATAAAAGAGCTCTAAGAGAAGAGATCAAAAACATGCTAAAATTCCATGGTTACGATAGTGTTTTTATGTCATTGCTTTTGTTAACACTATCGGGAAATTTAGGGTTTAGTGTAGGTGTAGGCCTACATTATTTTTAAATGGAGCATTAAGCTTTTAGCACCACTCACCGGCAGTGGTGGATGAAGTACACATACCATGTACTTGAGTAAAAGTAAAGATACTCAAGGTAAAATATTACTCAAGTAAAAGTGCTGCCTTTAAACATTCACTTGAGTAAAAGTACAAAAGTATTTGCCTTTAAATGTACTTAAGTATCCAAGTACTTTGATTTTTTTATGGCTATAATGTCCTATTATAATTTGTCACAAGACTCTTGCTTAACTCAGTCTAAGTGAAGACTAATGTCACTCTTGGCACACCAATCTATTAATGAAATGACATTAATTAGTCTGATATATATATATATATATATATATATATATACTGTATATATAAATATATAATATATATTTGAATTAAATACATTTTTTGTGTTTAATTTTGGAGGGAAGGGGACTCTTCCCATAAGGTATAAAACATTTACAGTAGGGTGAAGTCAGGTAAAGGGGTGGACAATTTTTGGTAAATTGCTTTTTAAACAACCTAAATCAGTTAGAATGTTTTAAAATTGTATGTGTTTTGTTGGTTTGCGCAACAAAAACAAAGTTCAAAACAAAGCGCGCGCGCTGTACTGTGATTGGTGGCTCGTTTGACCAGTTACGTTTTTATCCACTCATAAATAAAAAGGAACGACTGATTTTGAAAATGTAGTTGAGTAAAAAGTAAGATATTTGACTTTGAAATGTAGTGGAGTTAAAGTAAAAGTCTCCCAAAATTTAAAGTAAAGTACAGATACACAAAAAAGCTACTTAAGTACAGTAACAAATTACATTTACTTCGTTACTGTCCACCACTGGTCACCGGACAGTTTCAATGCAGAACTGCGATGAAACCTACAAACACCAACGTAATAAAACTTTTCCATATTCACATTCATCCGATCCGGAAAAAAAACTAAACATGCTTTTAGCGCCACTCACTGGACACCTCACCTTGAAACTGTCGCAAAACATGCACGGTCTAACGTATTTAGCGTTTTGCAAAAATGTTGCCACAGGTTTATTTTTCTAACGAGCCTGGGCTGAAAACACAGCATAAGTTTATAAGAAAAAAAGGTAACACTTTATTTTAGTGTCCTTGCCATAGTAATCACAATAAATTATGCATAATGCAAATCCTAATCCTACCGTAACCCTATAGTAAGTACATGTTGTTAATTAATATTACTGATATAAACTTAGTAGCCAATATTAAGTAGCTAAAATTGTGCTTGCACATTCATATGTTTGCGCTTAAAAATTTGGGAAGCAAGTTTACGAAGAAATGCAGCGGTCCCTAACACTAGACTGAAAACCATATTCTTCACAAGTGTGGAATTGGCCTTGGTTGTCAGAGATGCACATACACATGCTTTATTATACTTTGGATTTGGTCATAAGCATGACGTCTCCATTGCTAATCGTCCTAATTGGACGATATAATTTTATGCCACCCAGGGTCATTATAATCTAAATGTTCTGTACTTCTAAGAAGTGTCACCATTCATCCAGAATGCTTGTTAGATGCTTAGTATCCCATAAAAAGCTGCAAAAAAACCAAACCAAAACAAATACAGACAAATCACCCCACTATACTAAGCAGTAAAGAAGAAAAACATCTTGTTTACCTTCTAAAACCATCTTGATTGCTGTAAATAATTATGTTTGTAGCTTAAAACATAACTGGAGGTTTTGTGAGTTTCTTTGTGTGTGGTAGTGGTGTTGTGGTATGAAGATGAGATGCGTATCGATTGTTTTGAATCCGAAAGATGTAGAGCGGATGCACTCTGCGATCCCCCATCGTGTTTTTAAGATCAGCTTTTCTCTGATGAGGATCCAACACAGCCACAGGCACACCAAGAGCTGCTCTCTCTCTAAAAGTAACAGTACACCATCACGCTAAGCCAAAGTTTACTCCCCTGAGAGCGATTGACTAGATACACATCCTCTCTTCTGCTGCCATCTGTAAAAATGTTCACAATTTTGCACTTTACCGTGCTACTAGATGCAATTATGATGTGATTTTTGGTAAATAGAAGGCTCTAACGCAGCTGTTTTGACTAGTAGGAATGAATGTTTACGACAAATTGAGATCAAAAAGAGCTAATGTACCATTGTTGGATCAGTGGATTACTACTGTATTTACCTCTAAACACCATCAGAATCCACCTACGGATCATCAAGAGGTCCATTTTTAGAGGTGGTGGTGGTGATTGTGCATTAGCCTGAGGCTGATTAAATTTAAGGGATTTGTGAATCAGGTGCTGATTTGGCTGAAAGGGCAGGCTATAGCATGATTAATGGCCTTATCCAGAGCTGATTCTTACCCATCGGTGATTAGATAATCAGTCATCTCTGTCACACTTGACTGCAGAAATGAGAGGATAAGGGAAGGAAGCGGTGTCATAGAATATGAAAATGAGGTGACACAGGATCATTATGAGTTGTAAAACCAAGAGCAGCATTTCACAGACATGAACCAAATGTGATCAGACCTATCAAGGTTCTTTAAAACTCTCCAGAGCATTCAGTATTATGATTATCTCTAATGTAAGTGTTAGTTAAAGGGTTAGTTCATCCAAAAATGAAAATTCTGTCAGTAATTACTCACCCTCATGTTTTTCCAACCCCGTAAGACTTTCGTTCATCTTCGGAACACAAATTAAGATATTTTTGATGAAATCTGAGAGCTGTCTGACTCCTTCATATGCTTCTAGGTAGCCTAATTGTATTCTGCCGGCCCAGAAAAGTTAGTAAAGACATTGTTAAAATAGTCCAAGTGACTACAGTGGCTCAAACTTAAGTTTATCAAGCGACGAGAATTTTGTGTGCAAAAAACTAAATAATATATAACGACTTTATTCAACTATTAATTTTCTTCCGTTTAGGCCTCTGACATGAGTTCACGAGAGCGCCACGACGCATGCGCGAGAACTGAGAAGATGACGTAGATGGGTCTCGATGTAGTGTTTAAAATGGTTCTAAAGTGTGTATTTCCTGGATGTCCGAATCGGGAGAAACCAACGAGAAAACGCGTTGGTTTTCTCGTTCATCATCACATTTTCAATTATTCTAAAACGACTCGTGAGATGAATCAATCCCTCTAAATCCCTCCTTTCCACGAGCTACTCTGCTCTGATTGGCCAGACAGCTCAGTCTGTTGTGATTGGTCTACCGTGTACAGAGCGTCGAGAAAAAACCCCCGCCCATTGCCATAACAAGGTCAACTCTGCGTGTCCTGAGGCTTCCTACACTGTAAACTAAACAGTATTAACGAACAATGCCGTCGATTTGACCATATTAATGCGAGCGCGAGTCCGATGACGAAACACTGGAAGAGCTCGTTATTCAACCCGAACCTCCATCGCAAGGACGACTCGAGCAGGACGTTTCTCAGTGATACGCTACTCGGGCAGTTTGAGGTAACGTTACATTATAAGATGTTGCAACTGTAATTCCTCACCATCAGCATTAACAAGTGCATTTCCATCAACAAACCGATTATTTTACTTGTACTTATTTATTTACAGAATATTTTTCTAATATATTGCGGTGAATACGTGGAAACTGTATCAATAACAGTGCATACATGCAATGTACATTAGCCGAGCTCTAGAGTGAATGATCTGATGTAACATAAACATTAAAAAAACAAATATTTCCTCAAAGTATAGAGAACGACAGACAATCTGCATTAATTTATAGGTAATAGTGGCCCACAGCTGATCAGCAGGAATATTTCAGTAAGACAGTAATAATGTGAGTTAGCAGGAGACCTACACAATATAAAACTTAAAAACTAAGTTTCTTGAACACCATCTTTCAAGAGCAAGCGGTTTGCGAATCCTGCAATAAACTGGCTTTACCTTCACATTATAGAGCACAGCGCCGTCTCGACATGATGCTGTCCAGTATCCACAGGAATACGATGATTTCACGCAGCCGCCATTTTGAAATCGAAAGCGAGGCTCCGGTGGGAAGAACCCCGGAAGTACAGATAGACAACAATAGACCAATGCTACTTTTGCGTCATCGAAGATTAACGCCCCTTTTGGGGGGAAAACAAACGGATTCCCCTGTCAAAAGAACTCGCTCTAGAGCTGCAAAGTTTCTTAAATGGCACAAACATACACACTCACTTTGCCGGCCGAGGACCGTGAGCGGTATTTAAATAAGCTACTGGATACAGGGTTACAGAGGTGTCCTTTTGAAATGGTCGAAACCTGGATTAATGACCCCACGCAGTGGCCAAATATGGACTATTCAGACATCTACCACTATCTCGTGGAATCACCAAGTAAGTAGCCTATTTTTAGCCTAAACTAGACGATGAGGCCATGTCGCTTGGATCATATTGAACTTGATTTAAGCTATTGACATAGTTTTGTTGCCGACTAGCTATAGGTTACTAGTTAGAAAGACGAAGCTGCTGGCAGCTACGTGATTAACTTAGCTCTCACTAGGCACGCTACCTTGGCTGTTAACTGCTTTTACTGTTGAAATAGTGGATTAAAGTGGACTTGGCTGGTTTCTACTTGTGTCTAGAAAGTGCTAGGACTTTGAAAGTTGTAAAAAGGTTTACAGTGTACGGCAAAATATGTATGGGACCTATGTTTGTATGTATGAGGCTGTCAAATGGGATGTTGTGACATTACGCTATCCTATCTAGCCTAGAAGGCTTTATCTACTGCCGCTCGTGTTGTTACATGTAGCCCAGAGCAGTGGTCGTTGAAAAGTCATATAGGCCTAGTGCTAATCTTAAGATAGAGCAGACACCACTATAGCCAGAAATGATAAACAATGTCACTGTTTGTGTCTGACAGGCCTGTATACATCGGAAACAATGAAAAACAAAAGGTCCCTGGAGGCCCATAAGTTTTTCGTCAGTGGTTGGGTCCAGACTGTTTTACACATAAAAACAGACAAGTGCTTTGTTTTTAAAAGCAGTGTTAAACCTTCTTGGAGGGTGACTAACAAGCCCCACAACACCTGGGTAGCTGTGGAAAATAGTGGCAAAGTTAGAGCAGCTCACTGCGACTGCATGGCAGGGTAAGAGATCCATCCTCTTGACTTGTGCTCAAGTTTTCGTGGAATTTACACTTTCTTTCTTTTCTTTTTTTACCGAAGACTAGGTGAAAGCTGGTCCCATGTGGGTGCAGTTCTGTATAAATTGGAAGCCTCGATCAGTCCGCCTGGGCATCACCACCACTGTAAGTACCAGTATAGCCTGCCAATGGAACGCTGTCTCTACAAAAAAAGTTGAGCCATCAGAAATCCGCTCAATAGATTTTGGAGGCAGGAGAGTCATAGGTAAGGTCAAAAGACCCATCCCCAAAGCCTCAGCAAGCCAACAGGCACAGTTTTTACAAATGCTACACACGACAGGTGAATGTCCTGTGGTGCTGAGTACTTTTAGTAAATATGCAGGCTCCACACCACACCACTCCTCGTGGTTTGAAACACTAACCTTTACCAAGGAAGAGGCAGACAGAGTGGAGGCAGAGACTGTAATGCAGGCAGCCCGTAAGGCCTGGCGCAGGCACAGAGTAGGAAGAATCACCAGCTCGTTTGCTCACACTGTTCTTCACACGAATCAAGAGAAACCCTCAAACACTGTAATCAGAACAATCATGTCAGAGGCTAAAAACATAAATAGTCCTTACCTTAAGTGGGGAAGAGACAATGAAAAACATGCCCTAGACACCTACAAATATGCAATGGGCATTGGCCCAGCCACTGACCAATTATCTACCAACATATTGGTAACTGAAGATGTATGCAAAGTGCATGAAGGATTAAGAGTGGACAGATCAGGCTTTAGAATCAGCCATGAAAGACCATACTTTGGTGCATCATGTGATGCCTATGTGTCATGCGATTGTTGCGGCAAGGGTTTGGTGGAGGCAAAGTGTCCGTATAAGTGGGCAGGTCAGCAGTCAGTCAGCTGGACAGATGATGAGAAAGGGCACCTTTCCACATTGTTTTCTTTGAAGCCCAACCATTCTTACTACACTCAGGTACAGTTTACTCTGCAAAGGCAAAGCTATTCACAAAGAAATCAGTAGCTGTCAACAGAATTCTGACTTTCTTTAACAAATACTGTAGGCACATTTTAATAATACTTCCTTTCCCTCTTCCTCCTTGCCAAAGGTTCAACTGCAAATGTTTGTGTGTGCAGCACAGTATGCAGATTTTGTTACTTGGACCCCACAGCAGACCACCATCTTTAGAATCTTAAAAGATGAAGAATTCATTCACGGAACGGTGGACGTCATCAGCAGATTTTGGGCAAAACACATCCACCCGCGATTGATGACAACAGTGCTACAAAGTGAGGTGAGAAAAATAATAATCTTTTTTAAATAATCTTTAAAATAAATAGAGACACTATTGAACATACTTTAGTATTTATTTAATAATACTTTGTGCCATGTTTACAAGTGCTGCACAAACATTTACAAGTTTGTCAACTGTTGCTTGCCCATAGTTTTTGTCCTGTGCAGACTGAACCAGACAGCGAGGGAGTGGACCGTCAAGGATGTGAAAGCGACCTTTCAGCACACCAATCACCCGCTCTGTAAGGACGACAACAACAAAAAGGGAGTGCTTTTCTAAATTGTCTTTTCAAATAAAACAGCATTACAATAATCTAGTTTTACTTACCAATATGAATCCGGATGTTTGACTTCCTACGAGACATTTCCACCTCTCCCCCAGGTAACTGCTTCCTTCCTTTTGTGAATGAATGTTAGCAGCTCGACACCGAGGAGGGCAAAGTCATCCTGGAGGGTAAACCCCCTGTCTGCTAATATCTAGAGATTAAAAAAATCCACCATAATATTGCATTGTATCTACTTTCTTCTGCTTTTTCACCAGAGGGTGGTGACATGACACCCTAATCAAATGACATAAATGTGGTTAGTTGAGATACACATAATTCCAATTTTACCTGATCACCTGGAGAATGGTACACTGAGGACAGGAATCCTGACTGTCGGAAAATATGCACATCAGAGGCCCTTCCTCCCCATCCATTTGACAAAAATGTAATGCTGCCAGATGGACTGCATGCTATTAGATATTTCACTGTTGTCCATTTCTTGTAGTTAGAGTATGATTTTGCTCTAAGAAAGGATACATAATAACAATGACATCTAGCCTTTTATTTCAATATGGGATGTGAGAGTGTGTAAAGACATTTCTTGTGACACTCACCTAGCTTTAAGGTTGCTGGGGTACTCTGTCCTGATTTCAAAACAATCTATGATTGCTGTGAGTCGTGGGAACTGGGCCTTCATTTTTGGAGGTATCAGTGAAAAATATTCCCTATCAGGCCAGTGAACTAAAAAGGAAATGTTCCCATACATCAGGTCAAGCCATCGGATAAAAATTTGCCTGACAGTTGTTTGAGGCATTTTCAGAACGTGACTTAAGAAAAAAAAGGATGGGTTTTGACGTAGTTTTATCAGTGTAATAAACAGCTGGTCCCGCGGTGGAAGGGAGATGCAGCCTCGCCTCTTCACAAACTGGTTAAGAAATGTAAATAGGCTCAAAAACATCGTCCAGCTGAGTCCAGTCATCTGTCGGCACTTTCCATCATTTTCCTCCAAAGAATAAGATGACAGGCAGTTCCTTGACTCACGCATTTCATCAGGCACATCGTCAGCATCATCGTTGTCAGCTGGGCAATGGTCTTCATCGAGAACTAACGAGAAAAATAAGTTGCTTTAGCCCGCACATCTAACCCCAATCCAGCTTTAGCCTGACCATCTTAATACAATCTCAACGAGTGCATGTCATTAAACTTACTTGTAGGTAGATCTGGGCTCACAGCAGTCGTTTTTGCCACCTTGCGTTTGAGAAGGGGTGACGTCTGCTCACGTTTCCTGGCGTGTTTATACCTATTCAATTTCTGGTTTGGGCCTGCCACAGTACGGTAAGGAAATATTGTGGGCACAAAATCCGGGTGCAGGGGTTCTTTAACATGGCTTCCTGGAATTGGTTTAACATTGTAAAATACCGTTTCAGTACATGCGTATGGTATAAAAACTCTGGTATACACCCTAGGCGGTATCCTAGCTGCCTAGCCATACCTAGATGCTAGCTAGCACTAACTGGCTTAGTTGTTATGGTAACGAAATTAAAGCCAGTAACTAGCAAGTACACTACTTCATGTTAAATACAGATAGTTTGGGGGGTTGAATTAATGAAATAATCGGCTTACCTGTTATGAAATGCTTCCCACATACATATGTGTGAGGGGTCTTTGGGTCCCACAACCCTCCATCTGGTGCTTCCCTCTTTATCTCCTGAAGCCATAACATTCTTCTTTCCGCTTGTTTTATTCGGCATGGTAAAGGTATAAATTTTAAACCGGGTGTTTTAAAAACATTTGAGGTGCAGCTCACCACGCAACAACTTTTGGGCATGTTATTTTTGTTCTTCTGTTACCGGAGTAGACAAAATTCAGACCGTGTCAAAATGGAGAATCCAGACCGTTTGTTTTCCCCCAAAAAGGGGCGTCAACCTTCGCTGACGCAAAAGTAGCGTTGGTCTATGCCTTGGACTACCAACCTGAAGCTGCTGCCGCGATTTACGTGGATGGATGTTAATATCCAATATAGGATATGTCTATAGTTCGTTCCTGCTTCTTTTTTTACGTTCTGAATTATATATAAAAACATTTTTTATTTATAAATGAATTTCACTGTATATAGTCTAAAGTATGAAAGAAATGTATGTACATTTTTAGAATAACTAATTTCTACATTAAACACAACAATATGCCATCGCATTCGCGACTCTCCTATGATTAAAGGCGACACTTCCGGTTTTCTTCCCACCGGAGCGATTTCAAAATGGCGGCTGCGTGAAATCAGCGTATCAGCTGCTGGGTTCAAGTGTTCCCTGGTGTCTGCGTGTGCGTGGGCGGGCAACTACTAATGTTTCGTCTTGACGTCACGACGAAACAGCTTCTGACTTGTTTGAAAAACTATTCATTTAATTGACTGAGAGTCGACTCTTACTTTTGAAAGACAATAACTTAATATACGGTGCACTTTCAGATTTAAAACTTTGCAGGATATTTTCATTCACTTAGAGCTATGTTACACACTACATGAGGTCATTTTCAAAAATCCATAATAGGGGCCCTTTAAGGTTGAGCCACTGTAGTTACTTGGACTATTTTAACGATGTCTTTACTAACTTTTCTGGGCCGGCAGATGCAATTACCTAGAAGCCTATGGAGTGAGACAGCTCTCAGATTTCATCAAAAATATCTTAATTTGTGTTCCGAAGATGAACGAAAGTCTTACGGGGTTGGAACAACATGAGGGTGAGTAATTACTGACAGAATTTTTGGGTGAACTAACCCTTTAATGCATCAATGTGGTGCATTATTCTATCCATTTATCCGATTTTTTCATATGCATTTCATATAAATATGACATTATATACATATATATATATATTATTTAGCTTTCCTGTAGCTCAAACAGTAGAGCGTTGGTGCTTGCAACGCCAAAGTCATGGGTTCGATTCCCAGGGAAAACAAGAACTGATAAGAATGTATAATGTATATGTGTACCTTGAAAAAGCAAGAACTGAAAAGAATGTATATGTGTACCTTGAAATGCAATGTAAGTCACTTTGGATTGGTCTGCCAAATGTATATATATATACAATTATTTCAAATACACTGTGGTTAACTTCACCAGGCTTGGACTATGTGCAGTGCCACTTTTGTTTAGCAGGTGCTGGTACTAGGCTGCATAAGTGACAGTGCTCTAGAAGAGAAGCGTGATAAAGATAAATAACTGCTACTCTGGAACATTTTTTGCATCATTAAACATGGCAAACATATTAGCTTGCATAGAGTGAACAAGAATCCCTGAGGAGATGGGGCTGAATCATGCGGCCCACAGTGATCATAAAGGGGTATAGACTCTTGCCAATCCCTGTAACATCAAAGACAAGTGAGGAATTCACTTCACGCCATCTGAATTACTAAACAGGGAGGCATTCTTTGCATATAGGCAGAGACTTGAGGAACAGCACTTGATGAAAATCCCTTTAAAATTCCTCAGAACACCTTGAGCGGACCTCAGTGCTAAAGGATAACGCTGTTTTAAAAGAACATTTATAAACAGTGAGACATTTTGTCTCATGGTCACGTTGACAGTGTTTATGGGCAATTTGGCAAATGTATTCAGATAGGGGTGCAAAATCATAACTACATCAATAATCTGATCAAGCATTTCATACTGATATGTGCAGAGAGTAACCTCCTCAGGCCATATTTTAATATTAAATATGTTACATGCTGTATATTTAACACTAGAAGTGCCAGAATTCCATAACTACTTGAACTGCCACAAGCGGTCATTTTGACCGTTAGATTGCAAACTCTATATCTTTAATGATAAATACCCAATTGAGAGATTAATGCATTTATTGTATTAGGATATCTTTTAAAAACAAAACAACACCAAACTGTACATTTAAAAAAGTTTAATTATACATTTATAAATAATAAAATAGCCTGTAATTATCGCATAGGGCCTATTCACAACAGATAGCTATATTTCCATATCCATTCAACATAACTCAGAACAAGATAATAACAACTAAAAGTATCTTATTTAGATATTCTTTTGACAGTGAGAGAGACAATGTCACGGTCTATGAATTCGCTGTCTCCGTCTTGTTGTGTGTGTGTGTGTGTGTGTGTGTGTGCGCGTCTTTGAGACGAGACGTGTGCACGAGAGACGCCACATCATGACAATTTAAAATCTTTAACATCTCGCCCGTTGTAACTGCCATCGTTAATGCAGCAGAGAAACTATGCTTTGGACATTAGTACTGAACATGTGCCTAGTTACAGCACTAAGATCGGCCTTTAAACAAGCCTTGTCCAGCGGCCGCATTTACAAACAACAGCGGCAAACCCATGACCCTGTCCCGCAAACATCACTGGGCGGTGAGGATGTCCCTTTCGACTTTAACAACTATGTGCGCCAACTTGAATGTCAGGAATGGAAAAGGTTTGAGATCCACGAGAGACATTTCAGGAAATCATTGGATACTAAGCTACTCCAAGAAAGAACTTACTTCGCCTGCTCCGGTGACTCGGCAAAATGGAGTAGGGTTGCGTCCATTCTTTCCGGAGTGTTCTTTCAAAACGGAGTATTCCGCGTGAGGCGGGCCAACGGGAGGGAGTTTGGATTGCCACTCCTGAAATACGTGTCACGCATTTTGAAAAAGTTCCCCTTGAGCGATAAACATCCAGTGGAGTTAACATCGGTCTCCATTGCTTCCTGAATTGAGCGACAGCTGATCTTCGTGAGAGACGTCATCCAGCCGTCACTCAGCAGAGGGGGAACTGGGGATCGCCACAGGCAGCCAAGGACGGTAAGCGGAGAAAAATTATCGTACCTATGGCAACATCGCAGGTCCAAAGCTATTGAGATTATTCTCAATAATAGTATATTTCCTTCCACTTCACCCACTATTAATGACATCAGTAACGTGTATAAGTATTACATGGACAAATGTCAATCACTCCCGTCTCACATACTGGCCACGCCCCCTTGGTCCACCAACATAGAGACAACTGCTCTAGCACATTATCCATCTACTGCTCATTTTACTCTTGACGAAGTAGACAAGGTTCTGACCCACCTGCCAAATAACAAAGCCTGTGGAAATGATGGAGTAAAATATGAGACCCTGAAAACCACAAAAACCTGGTCCACCCATATACTCACCTGTCTGTTTAACACCTGTTTGATTAATGGAAAAGTACCAGATTCATGGAAGGGGGCCCTTGTCCATTGAATTCCAAAGAAAGACAATATCCCAAGTGACCCATCTACATGGAGAGACATATCTCTCCTCCCCACTGTTTACAAGGTGTTTATGAAATGCCTGCTTGCCCGAATCCTTCCATGGCTTGTGGATGCAGGCATCCTCTCACCCAAACAGAAAGCCTATATAGATAGACAGGGTATGAACGAACATGTGTTCTGCCTGAAAACTGGAATTGACGATTTCAAACATGAATCATGTAAACTCTATATCGTATTCCTGGACTTCAGAGATGCCTTTGGGACATTATCTCACAAACTGTTGCTTAATGCATTAGAGGAGATCCATCTACCTCAGCCTTTTGTGGACATCATAATGGATGTGTACAGAGGATCTTTTTTGCAAGTCATCTGTGGTAAACAACTTACTAAACCTATACCTCTTGAGGTGGGGATTAAAACAGGTTACCCATGGAGTGCTGTTAATTTCATTCTGGCTATCAATCAGTGGATGAAATGGATCTGTCAGTGTGCACCACCACATATCAGATCCCCAAACCCTGTCCAGGGATACGCTGACGATGTTGAGGTGTCTTCTAGGGAGGAGAATGTCATCCAAAATATGCTGGCCAGAATGGATGAATTCCTTCAGTGGTCAAAGTTGGAGGTGAAACATACCAAATGTGCAGCATTTTACGAACGGCGAAGCGGTGGAAATCGGTGGTACAAATCTAAATCTGATAACCCCCCCTCCTTTAAAATAATGGGACAGCCTATCAGGGTCTACTCTCGTCATGAAACATACACCTACCTTGGACATAAATTCAACATTGCAGGTGAGTGGGGTGAACAGGTACAGGAGTTATCCTGTGCCTTTAAGACCAGGATCGATTTGATCGATTCCTCCCCTCTACCTGTAGTCATGAAACTGGAGGCCGTTAGAGAAGTAGCTCTGGCAAAGATACAACACCTCTTTGCAAACATTCATATTCCACAAAATGTCCTACGGGACATGAATAATAAAACAGTTGAAGCCGTCAGGAAATGGCTGGGACTGAATTCACATTCCACCAGGGACATAATCTTCCTCACACTCAAGGAAGGGGGTCTGGGGGTCCCAAATGTGGAATGGACGTACTCCATTACAAGACTAACACACCTGATCCGCATGCTTAACAACGACAATGCTGCGGTCAGAGAGTTAGCCAGAGCTTCCCTCTTACTGGACCTTAGGAAGAGAAAAATCCCTTTGGCCACCGGTGATCAAGACAGCTTCCTAGGCTCAGGAGGAAGAGCAACAGTAAACTGGACACACAAGCCGCAGGTTTCGGAGTTCGTTCAGACTGGCCGGACTTAAACGACTTGTGCAATAGATTGGCAGTTAAACTACAGTGGACACAAAGCAACTCACAAACTGCACCAGAGGTATCTGACGCAGTGGTCACAGACCCATCTGTTACTGTGAAGGCCACAGTCTGCCACAATGAGACACAACACACACTACAGAGCACAACAGCAAGAAGATCTTTAATGAACATCAAACAGATGGACACAAAACAACACTGGACTGGACTAAAAATGCAGGGAAAACTGGCATGTCTTGACTTTGCTGACCATTCTACCTCTCATTCTATGTACAGAAATGCTGCAATAGGGGCGGATATTCTTTACTTCACTGTCAAGGCCAGACTTCAGGTG